CAGGCATGATGGTTTCTAGACGGATTCACTGTCCGGGAAGGGCCGTCAGTTAGTCAACCAATACAATTATAATATATAATATGTATATTGGTCAAAACGCTGATTATAAAGGAATATTTGAAGAACCTACCACCTCCTCCTCGACGAACTTTTTAAAACACACCCTGCATTTTTGATACGCATAATGATATTAAAATGTTATAATACATAAGTATTAGTTTTTTCTATATCCTTTTTTTTCTCCAAACGCAACACATTATAAATAAGCAGCTCCTTATGAAAAAAAATCTCGGTTTTTTAGAAAAAATTCTGACTTTTTTTTTCGTGCCACAGAAAGTCATTATAATTGAGTTTTCAATTTAAAACATGTGGTTTTTTTCGTGTTACTCAAAGCTTGTGCAATTTTATAACATGTTTTTAGAATACTGAAAATTCATTAATTCTAACCCGGTTTTCAATAAACATGATTGATAAGAATTCATAGAAAAGTCGAATAAACAGAAAAGTGACTACAGTAATCTAAAAAGTTTAAATAATTATGAGTAAATATTCTATTATTTTCCTTTAAGATACTTTTTACTAGTCTATAACCATTTGTGGATAGTTATTTTTAAAGTTATTTACAGGTTAAGAGGAAGGATGACTTATAGTATTATTATCATCTACATTCCAATTCTCATCCTAAATTCGAAACTTCATTAATAATACTTTTAAAGTAATTATCCAAAACTAGTTTTAAGCCAGTCAACATTTTCAACAAATTGTTTTTGTTGCTAGAACTCTAGAAAAAAAATATGAATAAGTGTAAATGTTGCGAAAAATTTTGCATAATGACAATAATTAAAGTGTTTTAACACATAAAAATTACAAATTTTTAGTTATTTAAAAATAAATTGAGCAATAACAAATATTATAGTAATAACATAAATATAAAAACCCCCTTCCGCTCTAAAATTGTGTAATATTGAAAAATAACAAAAATTAAAATATCTCCAAAAAGAAATCCACACATTTTCTAGTAATTTAAAAAAAAATTGGCTGTGTTATCCATAATTAATCACGCTGTAGAAATAGATATTATTAAAAATGTCTATTTATATTCACCTAATGCTTGGGTAAGTACATTTCGTATAACTTTTCCAGTAAGAAGTCTCCTCGCCTTTCCAAGTTTGGTCAATTTAAGAATTGCTCTAGCTGCATAAATATACATATGTATAAATAACTGGGTTGAAAATATAATATTTATTTATTTCTTCGTATTTATGTTTTTATTTTTTAACTTAACGTCATAAACGTAAAAAGATATGGTAAAAAGAATATCAGTAGCGTTGGTGGAGTCTAGAAGGGGTGCAAAAATGAAAATGGATATCAGCGTTAGTCCGAAAATCATCGAAGAGTTAGTCGTGAAGAGGGTGCTGTATTTTTAGTAAAATAACTACATAGGCTAAAAATGTATTCTGTATTTGCTCAGTTGTTATCTGAACCATTGTTTGGTAATAGTGCTAAAAGACTACTCCACATCCTAGAACCCTTAAAAAAAGTCTCCCCTACTAAAAGTTTACTTAATTGTAATTATTGTAGGAGTAAAAGAATATATAAAGCAAATTTTATCTTTCTATCAAGCCGTAAGCTCTATTTAATACTAACGAGTAGCTTTGTAAATTATTTTGTATTTATCATCATGTACAGTAACAGCTGTAACAAAAATATAAAACCATTATATAGTTAATCAACACTGGTTGTAATTGATATCCGCAACAGTCACTCGAAAAATACCATTATTTTGACCAATTAATTAACGCAAAGTCTAGTATGACAAAAAAACGATGGCTTTAAGGCCATGTTAGCTACCGTCATTAAGTGATCTTCAAACTTTAGAATAAAAAAAAGAAAGTAATCGTGCAGGAAAAATGCAGTTTGTTGGAAAATATCACAATATGACATTTTTTAACATAAAATGACAGACCAAGAAGGTAAGTCCAGTCAAGAAAAACATTAAGTTTAGTATTTAAAAGGCAACAGTCCACAGATAAGGCAATACTAAACAAAATGATTTATGTAAAAAGATCAGTAACCGCTTCGTGAGCTTAATTGTATTGTTAAAAATTGATTCACGCTGTCCAAAATTGTAATGTGAATACAATATTAGTAATATGTTATTAAGTCTCCCAAACTAAAGTTTCACTTTATTATAGTTACTGTGTGGACAAATGAATATAAATAAAACTAAATGTAACGTTTAAATAAGCTAAAAGTTATATTCAATACTAACGAAAAACGTAATTATTATTTCAAAAGGTAATCGGATATACAACAGAAAGAGATTACTTTGTAATTACTTTGGTATTTATCATCAAGTGAAGGAATATCTGTAACAATAATATAAAAATGGTTTATAGTTAATCATCCTGGTTTATTTTATTTACCCATGACAGTTCTAACTAATCAATGCCAAATATTTTGGTATTAACATAAAGCCGAAAAATACCGCCAGGCTCTAGATATTAATTTAAATATCTTGTAAAATTGAAAAATAACAAAAATTAATGATTCTCCAAAAAGAAAACCCATAATTTATCATTTAGTTAAAAAATTATTGATTGTGTTATCAATTATGAAACACCCTGTAAGAAATACATGTTATTAGAAAATCAAAACCACTCAAACTCTATACTTAAATACTCACCAAATATTTGGTTACGTAAGTTATGTAAAGCTTTTCCAGTAAGATAAGTTCTTGTTTTTTCATATGTGGTCACTCTTAAAATGTCATTACCTGCATAAATTTATATATTACCATATTAATAATACAAAAATTGTTAATATATTGGTATTTATGTTTTTATTTTAAAATTGTACGCCTTGATGTTATATATTATGATTCCTTAACTAAATTTTAGTTTATTAAAAATTGAATGTAAATAAAAAAATAAAGAAAATTTTATCGTTTATTCAAATCATAACTTTTTTTTAATGAACGATTAAATTTGTATTTACTTTGGTTTGTATCGACCATAGGAATACCTGTAACAAAAATATAACATAATTTTACAGTTTATCAAACCAGGTCTTTATATTTGTCAATAACATTCGTTTTGAAACGAATAATTGGTATTTATTTTACTAATTATTCAATGCAAAATAGATTATTAACATTAAATTATTCTCTAGCAACGTTTAAGTAAGTACTTTCTGCACACTGAATTTAATAATAATCTAATCTTTTATGTTTGTTTATTTTGTTCTTTGTATTTTATATAAAGAACAATAAGATATTGTGAGCTGTTATTCCTTGATGAATCTAGTTATATTCTGTATACTTTGAAATTGTATAAAGATTTGTTTGAAATCCCAAAAAATGTAATAAGCTAATATTTTTTTTACCCCACTCACATTTTATGGTGCTTAGTGGCCTTTAAAAAATGTTTACTAAAAAATTAAACATTTTGTATTTACCTAATGTCTGAAAGAATTTCCGTTGCAGAGTATGTGATTGTGTCATTATGATACCTAAATTCGAAAATAAAATAATCATTTAAATATATGTACATAGTTTGTTGTAATAGAAACTAATGTTGTACATATAAATCTGTGCGAATCGTTATAAATATGAAATTTGAAATATATAAAGATGAAATTACTTTGTAGATGGCCCATGGTGCAGGCACCTACATTTGAAAATAATATAAACTTGTAATGGAAACCAATGTTGTACATATAATTCTGTGCAATGCATTATTAATTTGAAATTTAAAATTTATAAAAGTGATAATTGATTACCTTGTAGATAATTAAAGTTGTAAGTAAGTGCATGTTCTGAAATTAAATCGTAAACATTGTATACTTAATGATTATCAGACGACTGTGAGGAAATATTGCCATAAAATTCGATTAAATTTATTACCCGGCACAGTGAACATTTCATTCATAAACTCTGAAATTAGCAATACAGAAATGGTATTAAATTAAGTTTTTTAGTCTATCATTAACTAAACTAAAGAAAAGTTAAAAAAAATAATATGTGTATAAGTAGATCAGAACAAAATGCTTAGCTCTATTACATAAGTTTGAAACCTAATGAAAATACAATAGCTGTATTAAATCGTATGGGAAAGTAGAATTAAATTTTTTTTATCTGAACATTTTCTTTAACCCTTTCACTGTCGTGGACGTGCGTTAACGTACTAATCAATTAAAGAACTAAGAAACAGGTTACCATTATAGTAATGGTTGGGACGTGTTGCAGTTTGAAAAACACAATGGCAGTAAAAGGGTTAAAGATATTTTTGATGTTTTTTGTGTACAATTAATCCATAACCAAATTGTTTTTTATTAATTCATAATTATTGTTACTCGAGTCATAGCCGTTTGATTGTAAAAAGTCTTTAATTACATGCTCCAATCCATCTAGAACAAACCAATAAAAGTTTAAACTAAAGAAAAGTTCCGAATAAAATCAAAATGTAAATGAAAAGCATAAGAAAAAATTACACCATACATTAGGCAACTCCCTCAGTTCCCTAATTAGTCTATTCCTGGGGTAAAGTATGCTCATTGTAAATTACAGTAACTTTCAGTGACGGCCCGTGCTTATGAGCGATGGAGCACAGACCCAATCAATAATATAAAACAACCACTATTACAGGATACCACTTCGCCCATTTATTAGAAAGTTAGGTGTTGGCATTTTTTTTTACAGTCTTAACTTAAAGGCACAGATAATATTCTCAACTTATATAGATATCATTCGTGTAAGACAATTTTCGGAAGTGCTGTATTATAAAAGCCGACTCTTATTTTAAAACCGTAAAGATGCATTTCCGGACTCCTAGTAAATACGAGTACAAACATTTGTTACTTTATTTTTAAAACTTAAAAACGTTTACAGTGTTTGGCACACTGTTACTATATTATATTATTTTTGATGTACAAATAATTTGATAAGTAGGCCAACATACCAAAACAATTACATATTAGTATATTAATTATTATTATCTTACTTCCTATATAATCGTCGTTATAGCCAGAAGCTTTTTGAATTTGCAAGTCTGTGATAAACGTTTTTAAAAAATAGTTTTATACAAATATAGTAAAATTTTAAAATGTACTGTGTTGGTCTGTATGATTATAAAATATTACTTACTCAGAAGTTCAACCATATTTATATATTCTGCTGTAAAGAAAAGTAAAATATTATTTTTTTTAAATTTTATCGTCCTTGTGTGGGTAAATATGAAAATAAAATACTTACTTATACTTATATTAGCCAAAACATTTACGCACATTAATGATAATAAAATACAGGAAATTTTCATTTTTATCTAAAACATTAATAAACATATATGAATTTTTTTAATGTTCAGGCGCTTCTGGAAAATATATTATATGTTTTTAATTTTAATCTTAATTTGTTCGAAAAAACATCGTATTTCAAAAATTTCTAACCAGCAAGAAGGTATAGTGTTCTGGTAATACCTTTAATTTTCAGAATTTACCATTGTTTTTGTATTTTTAATAAACTTAAAATACAAGATATAAAGTAGCTTGAGATGTATTTTAAAGATACAAAATCAAAAATTAAATTTTCAATAATCATTGCACATTTTAAAATTGAGTACATTATATTTCGGCAATACAATATACTAAAAACATATTTTGCAGCCTATCGTTGCTAGTTTATTTGCAAAGCTGTTTTTTTGTATCGATGCCGAGCTAGTGTTCCTATGATGTCTGTTTTTTTTTGTATCAGCAAATACGACTACATGTTTTAGTATGGCCCGATTAATCTAAGATATCCGAAATTTTGAGTGACTTTGTTAGGTTAAAAGTCGAAAAAGTAGACTTCTTCACTCCCACAAACGTTAACTTTCTATAACTTAGCGAAAAAGTGTCGAACTGAAACAAAATTGTATTACAATGTTGATCAGGCATGCCCTGATACACAAATACCCTCAAATCCGAATTTGAAAAACCTGCACTCCCTCGCATGATTTGTTTTTTTTAAAATGACATTTGGTTTTAAAATCTATTTACAAAAAATGTTGTACAAAGAAACATGGACTTATATGTTTAAAATATAGATTACAAAATATAATGATGTATGTTATTCTAAGACAAATGCGTTTAAAATTCATCTATCTATATATAATGCGTACTTACGATGGTTGGTTGGATTATTCACGTATGGCCTTGACGTATAATGAATTGGGACTAGTGGATTAAATGTTATAGAATCTCTAGATGCGGGAAAACGTTTAAAATTAGAAAAATATATTAAAAGTGTGAAGTTTTAAATTTTTTGCAGTTTTGGTAGTATCATTTACTTAAAAAATTGCAATGGTTATTAAAACGACCGTTTTAATGGTTTTTTTACAACTGGTCGAACGATATCTGTTTTGTCGACCGAAAAAATCCAATGTAAATTTGTGTGAATCACTTTATTTTCAAAACATATATTTTTCATAAATGTGGTTTTTGAATTTTATAGGTTTTTCGGATAAAAAACCAATACTACAAATATGTGATATATAGATTGTTCATCGTTATTTATTGAAAACATATGTAAATGAATATATATTTATATATATACAGAGTGATTCATTTTGGGTAAGACACTCATTTTTTCGGAATATTGGAGCGCACGGCAGTTCTAGCAATGCCAGTGTATCTTTACACGAACCTATTCAACCAGTATTTCTAACTCTCATATCTCTAATACTTCTTAAGATAAGCTATTTTAACATATCGAGAGGTAGGTTGAAAAACCAATACAACCAGCTAGCGAATGGCCATTTAACAAAAAACCTAACAATGACCGTGGTACAAATACCAAACAAACCACTGCTATGTTGATAATATATAATATTTGTCGTTAACAGAAATTACAGCTCTATGGGTGTTTGGGGCAGTTCTTCTAAAAGATAACACAATTTTTATTTTATCAGCGTGACCAACCCCGAAACACCAAAATATAAATTCACATTCTATCAGTCTGCCAATTCTGTCAAAAAAAAAGTAACTAAAATATAACTAACGTTCAGAGTTAACTGTTATCTCTAGAACCGAACGGCAATAATTCAAATGATAAAAAAATCAACCGTGTTAAAATATATTATATTTTCTTAAATAGTACAAATTTTTACGATGCATGTATAATGACAAAAAACCAACTAGCTCATATGGCGACAACGATAATTATTGGTAAATAAAATTTACTTCCGTTTCTTATTAATATTAAATGAATATTTATATTAGAATTATTTTTTAATTCATAATTCAAAACTCTCGTTTTCACATAATATAAACATGCAATATTTAAAATGAATAACATAATCTATTTATCAATTATTGTAGCGACAAAGTTCGTACACTCACTATGTTGTACACAAATTGTGTGGCAATATTATTACATCCTATTTGAATAAAACTATTAATACAAGTAAATTATGTTTTACAGTATGATAGTAGTCGTCTGAAGTCATAAAAAGCTTATCGGCATGCTTATTTATTAGAGCGGTTTAACTGCTGAAACTATCTCTAGTCTGATTAAATGTGGTAATGTAGTATGGTGTTAATTCACCATAATAGGACATCATTATCTTTATTTATATGCAGAGTATAATGCAGTAAATAATTATAGATTCTACAAATAAATAATAAATTAGCCTTAGTAAGTTAAACCCTTAACAATACCTGCGATTGTCTAATAACTATAAATATTTATAAATAATGTCTTAATAATAATTGAATAGTTTTATAACATATTCTATATTTTTGATATTTTCATTTTAGTCAGTAATCAATGAATCAAGGCATATAACTATTATCTTTTTTAATAGTAACGCAGTTACATGTTATATGAACCATCATTCATGAAACACAATTTTGCATCTCTACACATTTTTGACTTCTAAACTTTAAGTTATCCAGATTAAAATATTTTTGAATATTGAAAACTATATGCTTAGTTTTACTCATATTCAACTATAAGAAACTTGTAAAACCATGTAAATATGTTTTAATAACTAAATATTATATTACTTCATTATTTGGGATTTAATGATTTTTCAAATATTTTCGACGGAGACAGTGATAAAACGATATTGGTTTATACTTTATAATGGCCATAGTCTAATAATTATAATTACCATCTGAAATAATAGATAATAATGACTGACCAATTATTTATTTCCTGGTTTATGTATAGGAATGAAAACACATTTAACATTTGTTAAAACTATTATTAAGTTTGAACTAGTATTTCTAACCAAACTATGTAGGTATAAGATATTCCTAAAACAATTATACCTTTTTTAATGATAAATAAAAATGGGAATATCTAATTTGTTTTCACTTAGTTAAAATAGAGTTAACCAGATCGCTTGATATCTAACCTTTTAATTTCTTATTTGATAAGTTTATTATATACATTTTAGTAGAATTGGAAACAGCCTCATTAATTTTTCCATTAAATATGTCCATAGCTACGTCTATATCATTTAAATTTTCACAACTTGACCAATCTTAAGTAAATATTAACATATTTAAATCAGTCATATTATAGCTTATTAAAAATTTTTTGGACAAAAAGAGCTTTAATAGCAGATTTGGATGAGAACGAGATAAGAGCATATACTTTCAAATATGATGAGATGCTGCAACTTGCAATTGTATCTATTTATTTTATAATATGTATTATTTCTATATTTTTTTTTTTTATATAATATACATTTCTTAATAAATGAAATGTAGACAGCATTAATAACAGAGAAATCATAACTAGTGTAGGTATCTATTCTATACATAATATCACTTCTATTTATTTCTACTTTGTAGTTTATATTTTACTTCGTTTGTTTTATTGTATTTTAATGTAACTATAAAGTGTGATTGAAGAAAAGCATGTTGTTTTTGGTTCTACTTCCTTAAGAAATTTAACTAAAATAATAGAATCATGAAGAGACTTTAATAAACATTTTTAAAGATGTAGTAATTATAAGAAAAAATGAAACAATAAATAACAACACAAATTTGTTTAGACGTGTCTTAAAAAGATAAATAAAATCCCTAAGCTGTTATGTACTAAAATAGTTAGGATACTTTTGTGTGGTATTAAAATTTTAACTTCCTTTTAGAGATTTGATTATCGCTAAGTAAATGGCCATATTGAATGAATAAGTACTCAGATTAATAAAATATTTGCTATGCAATCTTCTATCAAATACGGACATTTTCAAATCGAGAGATAATTGTAAATCTGCAAATTTATATTGACCAAAAATTTCTTCATTTTTTTTAATAATTTGAATAAATATTACTGAACAAATTCATATTGTTTAGTTTGGTTTATTTAATAAAAATATTTATCCAGAGTAGCTTAATATAAACTAATTTCTGTAAAATATTAAGTGAATAATAATTATTTAAAAAACCTACTAATAGATTATAAATAACATTCAGTCTTACAAGGTATATTATACCAATATTTAAATACATTGTTTGGTATTGAATACTATTTTTGATAATTCGTTAATAATTATTTAATTATTATACATATAAAATGTGTATAGTACGGGATAATATTTAGTTATAGTTTTCTTTTTTTTTTAATTCAGTAAGACAATCAGTCTGATTTGATAATCTCTCCATGATATAAGCAAGTATGCATTAAATTACATTATATATTTATTAAGTATGACGTTTATACGATTATGATCCTAGTTTGATCATATTTGAAGAGTGAAAGTGTCAAACGTTCCAAGTGCCAAAGTATAAAAATTGTACTTTATAATTTGATTTGTATTTTATTCATTACCGGAAACAATTTTGTAAAAATTTATAAGTCAATAATAACTCTAAAACGGTCGTTTACAATCGCATAAGTTTGTAAATTTGTGTGGACAACCGTTGTGACGCGTCGCTATTATTTTTTTGTTAAATTCAATTTATTAAATTAGAAAACTTCTCCCCCCATCACAACTGAGAAAAAACGTAAAAAAAATTGTCGAGATTTTAACTTTCAACGTTAACTCTCTATTACTTAGCAAAATATCGTCGAATAAATTCAACTACTATAAAAACTTATGGTCTTGATGTATAATGAATTAGGCTAAGTAGAATAAATGTTATCGAACGCTAGATGCGAAAAAAAGTTGAAAATCAGAAAAACACATTGAAAGAGTACAGTTTTACTCTTTTTGAAGATTTGGTAGTTTTACTTACTTTAAACAATTGCAATAGTTAAACCAAGTATTTCAATGGTTGTCTTACGACTTGTCGAATGACATCTGTTATATTGACCGATACAATACAATGTAAATATGTTTTACAGTTTGGTTTTAGCGAATTTATTAACATAAGCAGCGTGGTAATTTTTCGTTAGGACTAACATATTTATTCAATTCCAAAACGGAGTATAAAGTTTTTATAAAAATCGTATATATTATAATATATGTATACAGCTAATGTGCAGTAAATAATTCAACTGTGCTACAAGTCGTACACTACAATGTTAAATAACAATTCAAATCAAAATACATACATATTCCACTTGAATTAGGTCAACAACATTTTGCACAGTAGTCTCCGCTTTTTGGAGTGTTTATATACTATACTATAATATTTATTACAGGTGTAAGACACTCACTTTCTTGGAAAATATAAATATATTTATTATTAATATAATACGTAAAATAAGTTCGTTTTTCGTTTGTCCAAAATGGAACACATTTTTTTAAATTTTGTAATTTGTTAGGTTTGCAAAGTCATAGTAAATGAAAATTAATAATCAAAACGTTTAAACTTGCTAATACGAGACCATCCGTGATTTAGGTTTCATCCTTTTTTAGAGATCTTTCCCCAGTGGCTCATATTCAAGGAAAATGATGCAAGGCACTAAAGAGTAAAGCTTCTTGAGTTTTTTAGTCATTCCACTCAAATCTTTAATATTTTTCTTTCCTTTAAACTCCCTCATTGCCCTCTTGTCCGTCCGATCTTTGAGTATGCCAGTGTTCTCTAGGACCCAGCTACCGCTAATGCCAGCGCCATGGTCGGAAGGGTTTAGAGAAAATTATTGCACTTTTACTCTTACAGGTTTGATATCTCTTCTCTACTCTCTGGATGACTGCTCTACTGCCATTCTAGCTTTTGCCATCACTTGGCTCTTGTCTGCTTCTAC